TTAAAGAAAATGGGAGGGAGGGAAATGGATATATTTCTGCAACTCTCCACCCACCTTCTCTTCCTAACACCCCTGTTTCTCATAAAACTAGCTTTATTGTTCCCTTCTGCATCTCTCTGCAACTCAAGGTCTTTTTCTCTTTTGGCTCTATACTGAAATCTGTTTGAAAAGAAGTATGTGATTCTGTCTCCTCGAGCCTCTTCTCAATTATTTGCTTCTTCTTTTCTCTCCAACAGCCTTACTATCCTGTCCACCCAACAAGCCTGTTTTGGTTTGATATTTTCACTGCTACTAGCCTGTTCCAACCTGATGCTCTGTGGCCTAGAGGCCTCTGTCTACTGCAAGATTCTGCAGAATATGGATCCTGTTGTTCCTCCTCACCCCAAAAGGAAGGTTGACATGCTGCCTTTTTTTTTTCTCTGTCTCATCTGCATGTAAGTTAATTCAAAGACATGAACAGAAATCCACTTCTGGTTCTTTTTCTTTTGGATTAAGAGGCATAATAAATAAATAAATAGATAAATAAATAAATAAATAAATTGTTACTGACTCTATTTGCAATTGAATGTTGCTTCTCAGGTGATGGTAGCCTATGTGTCTTTGCTTCCTTAAGAATGTATATTGGAGAGATTAAGGCACACAGTTAATTTACTTTGAGTAATGAGAACAAGCATCACTTCCCTGAGACATTAAAAATAGAGTAATGGAATCAGCTGAGACCTGATCAAGTGGATGCCGGGATTTGAGAGGGATGGTAGAGAAGAGTTTGGTGTCAGTTTCCAAAATGACCGAAGCAAGCAGAACACTGGGACAGGACAGTTTACCTCCCTACCTTGTGAGTATCTCAGAGAAACACAGTGTCTTGGTTCACTAGTTTGGAAATAAACAGATATCAGTTCAGTTGTTCAGAGCTTCCCAAAATTTTGGGAAGCTTTCCTAAAATCCAAATCTTCTTCCCACCACCAATCAAATTTTTATCCGTGTTCGAGTAGTGCTGAAACCTTGGGTATACTGTGACAAAAACACTTGTTATATGTCTGAGACCAGTTACATAGACCCAGTTTTTTCTACTTCTGAGGTCACTGGTAGTTATGTATTTCTATATTTAATTAACATCTCTAAATATTGTAAAAAATATTGCATACAGCAAAAAAGATCCTTACTGACCTTTCTTTCCTTGCAATAGGTCACCTCCCTTCAGCTTAACTTCAGACTCCAATTTGAAATACTTCTTGAATAAGTGATTGAGATTTGTCTTACGGGAAGCTGTAAGACATCATTTTCTGTAGTCACAATTCCTACATCACTGGAATGAGCATTACCGTGATTCAAACTGTCCAACAGATGCAAAGGTGCTTTGTTCATGATAGCCTAAAGTAATTTACAGCTAGTCAGATCCCAAATCTTTATGCAAACTGAGAAATGTGAATATGTCTTAAAAAAAATATATATATATGATATTGTAATCCTTTGTTTCAATATATCTTTAAGTCTTTTGTACGTTTTTGTATTTTCTGCCACTTTTGCCTTTGTGCCTTTTTTACTCTTCTCTACTTTAAATCTTCTCTCACAATAGCTATAGTTCTAGTAGCCTTTCACAAACATTTTTCAGTAGTTGAACTGTGTACAAAGAAATGTTATGAATATGTATGTAGGGACCTGATTAGTTTTAACTACAAGTGATCTTACAGTGGAGATATTTTTGTATCTTAACTTGTACTTTCTCTAATGATCACTATCTAAGCTTTATAAACTCTCTAGGCAAGGAATTGATTGCCTTTCTAGTATACAATGGCTATGATCATGTAGAACACAATATAATTTCAATTAAAACAGGTAAAATCTTGGCTGAAGTATTAAGTATTAAAACATAATGTAAGAAGACGAAAAAAGCCTCTTTGACAATATGCTAATGCAACGTGACTGCAGTTTCATAAGCTGGTATCTTTTACACAGATCCTCTGTTTCTTTGTAGTTAAATGTGATTTAACATAAAATTAAGAAAATTCTACATTGGTATTGCCACACCATATGGATCCTCCCACATATACTATCTAAAAATACTTTGAATGTATATATATGTATGAACCTTCTACACCTTGTAAACTAATCAAGACACGTCTGAAAAAGCAGTTGGATTAAAACCTCATTGTCAGTTCAGATAGAATGTTTCAGGAAGTGGTGCTACTATTTCAGAGAACAGTATTGGTCTTTGAATCTCTGGGTGAGTTTCATTGGCCCTGAGATGCTGAGTAAGCTATCTTGCAAGAAGAAGAAGAGGGACAGAAGAGAGGAGAGGAGAGGACAGGACAGGACAGGACAGGACAGGACAGGACAGGAGCTGGAAGGCGCCTAGAAATATAGTTGAGTTCCAACTGTCTGACAACTTCAGTTCCCTTGTGTCCTAATGTTGGTTAACAGGGAGAAGAGACCAGCACCTCCCTCTGTGATTCCCCTGCTCAGGAAGCTGTAGAGAGCAATCAAGTGGCCTGTTAGCCTTCTTTTCTCCAGACTAGACAAATCAAGTGTCCTCAGCCTCTCCCCACAGGATGTGCCTTCCAGACCCTTTACCAGTTTTGTTGCCCTCCTCATTCAAGTATCTTACTATCATTTTTATATTGAGGAGACCAGAACTGTACAAAATGTTCAAATTGAGTCCACACCAATGCGTAAACATAGTGTAAGAATCATCTCTTTTGACTGGCAGGTTATGCTGTGTTTAAGGCACCCTAAAATGCAGTTTGTTCTCTTGGCTGCCAGGGTGCAGTGATGCCTCATGTTAAGCCTACTGTCAACCAGCACTCCCAGATCCCTTCCTGATGAGCTGCTCTCTAGACACTCTTCTTCCAGCCTGTACCTGCGTCTGATATTACTCTGTCCCAGGTGCAGAACCCAACATTTTCCTTTGTTGAACTTCATGGCGTTGCCAATTGCCCAATGCTCCAATTTGTCTAGATCTCTCTGCAAGACCTCTCACCCTTCCAGAGAGTCAACAGCCCCTCCCAGTCTAATGTCATCAGCAAACTTGCTGCATTCAACTTCTGCATCCAGATCATTGATATAAATGTTGAACAGGACTGGCCCTAGAATTGGGCCCTGGGGAACACCACAGGTGACTGGCCATCAGCCAGATAACAGGCTGCCACACTGTGAACTCTGCTGTTCAGCCAGTTAGTCAGTCATCATATTATGAACCCATTCATCTCAGATTTGGAGAATTCTCCTGAAGGACACTGTGAAGGATGGTATCAAAGGCCTTACTAAAACCCAGAAAAACTTTATGCACCACCTTCCCTTCAGCCACTAAGTGGGTAATATTGTTGTAGAAAATTGAATTACTAAGACAGGACTTTCCCTTCATGAACCCATTTTGACTATGCCAGAAAACAGCTTTATTCTTTGGATGCCTTTCAGTAGCACACAGAATAATCTTTCCCATAATTTTTCCAGGCAATGAGGTTAGACTAACAGGTCTGTATTTTTCTGTGTCTTCTCACACACCCTTCTTGTAGCATGAGAAGATGCATCATAGCAATGTTGTATAACATTGGCTTACTTCCATTCAGACTGGACCTTCTCATACTCCTAGGTCCTTTGGTAGATTGTTGAGAGAGCTCTAGTTAGGATCTGCTAACTCCTTCAGTACTCTACAGTGAGTTGCATCAGGTGATGCAAACATTCAGCTGATAAAACCATTCCCTTACAATTTTATTTGCCACAAATGGAAAGTCACTGCTTCCCAGTCGTGTTTGTCCAACTCAGAGGACCAGGCAGCACAAGATCTATCATAAATATTAAAAATTGGGGAAAAAAAAAAAAAAAAAGATATTAAATACTTCAGTTGTTTCTTCATCCTAGTAGAAAAGATGCAGGAAGTGAGGTTTCCTCTCTTCAGTCATTACAGACCATAATAGTATTGCATAACTGCTCTTCTTATGATTTCCTTTGGAGAACGTGTTCTTGAGTAGCATTCTGCTGCAACAGAATTTTTTGAATAGTTAAACAGGAAAGTGACAGTGTTATGGAGAGAATCAAGATGCTAAAACTTTTATTTACTCCAAAATTCCTGTCTTTCTTTGGAGAGAATGGATTCATTTCACATAGGTGCACTCTCTGTGCCTGTGTTCTGAGATATCCAAGTATTTTATTCAAAATTATGTAACTCACACTTCATAAAAATCTGCTTGCCTGTGGTCATTAACTGAAGCTGTGTAACTCAGACACTGTAGTTATGTGCCTTTTCAAGCAGACCCTCCTGCATCTGGCTAACTCAGGGTAAGGACAAAACACATTTTCATCTGGCAGCAATAATCCAAGGAAGCAAGCATATCTTATATGTCCGAAACTACCAACTGGATATGCAAGTCTTTTTCTTGTCAGGTGCCACATGTCAGTGGAATATCTGTATATACATTTAAGCCTTGAGAAAGGTCTACCATGGAGGAGTCTGCATATTGTTAGTGTCCAATAATGTCTTTATTGCATATACAGCCTGTACAGGTCTGGAAAACTTGTGAGGTGAATACATGAATTATCCACATAGACATGAATACAGTATTGTTTAAGTAAAGTTTTTTCCTGTTAGCATGTAAATTTATTTGAAGACACGCTTATCAACTACTGAAAGTAAAGACAAAAAGTTTTCTTGTTTTCTAATTACTGAGAGGTAGAAAGAGTGGTTGGCAGTGCATGTGGAGGGAGACGTCATAAGTAATCCTTATCAATTGATTCCCTTCTTATCTTTAAGGCGCAGATGACTGCTGTGCTCTCCTAAGCCCACAAGTTAGTGAGAGGACCTCTAGCTTTTTTCTTTGTGACAGAATCCCCAACTTCTTTCGCTTCTCTATATAGTGTGTTAGGTTTTCCAAGTGTAGCACTGATCAGCACAAGAATGAAGTGTTGGATATATCTTCCAGCTGTCACACAAAAATGGCAATTATCTTCCAGATATCTCCTTGATTCTGGTTCATAAAAATGTGGAATTAAGTGCATTGATATGTA